ATTTGGGGACTCAGAATGAACCACTACTGGCTTCCTTGCTTCTTAACTTGCAGACAGTCTATCACAGGATACCTTGTGATCATGTGAGTCAACTCTCCTTAATAAACTCCCTTTCATGTATACTTATATTCTATTGGTTCTATCCCTCTAGAGAACCCAGACTCATACAGTCAGGAATTAAGAAGTTATTTGAAACTAATGAGAACAAAGAAGTAGCATATTAGAATCTCTGGGACACAGCAGAGGCAGTGTTAAGAGGGAAATGCATAGCAACAAATGCCTGTGTCAAAAGTTAGAAAAATCTCAAACAAACAACATAACATCACAACTAGAAGAACTAGAGAAGCAAGAGCAAACAAACTCCAAAACTAGCAGAAGACAAGGAATAACCAAAATCAGAGATGAACTGATTGAAACAGAGACATAAAAAAACCATACAAAAGATAAATCTAAAAATTGGTGTCTTGAAAAAATTAATAAGATAGCCATCTAGACAAATAAACAAGAAAAGAGAGCATATTCACATAAATACAATAAGAAATGACAAATAGAATATTACCACTACTCCACAGAAATACAAATAACATCAGAGACTACTATGAACACCTCTATGTACACAGACTAGAAAATCTATAAGAAATGGATAAATTCCTGGACATAACACATCCTTCCAAGACTAAACAAAGAAGAAATTGACTCTGTGAACAAATAACAAACTTTGAAACTGAATCAGTAATCAATAGCCTACCAACCAAAAAGAGCCAAGAATCAGATTCACAGCCAAATTCTACCAGTTGTTCAAAGAAGAGTTGGTACCATTCTTACTAAAACTATTCCCCAATCACCTCAACTCATTCTATGGGGCCATCACTATCCTGACACCAAAACCTGGAAGAAACACCACCACGACAAAAAAACTTCCAGTCAATATCCTTGATGAACACAGATGCAAAAATCCTCAACCAAATACTAGCAAAATTAATCCAGTAGCATATCAAAAACCTTAGCCACCATAATCAAGTAGACTTTATCCCTGGGTTAAGGGTTAGTTAACCTTTATGCAAGATTAGTTCCACATATGCAAATCAATACATGTGACTCTTTGCATAAATAGAACTGAAGACAAAAACCATATGATTGTATCAACAAATACAGAATAAATTTTTCATAAAATTCAACAATCCTTCATGCTAAAAATCCTAAAGAAACTTGGCATTGAAGGAACATACTTCAAAACAGTAAAAGCCATCAATGACAAACGCAAAGCTAACATCACAATGAATAAACAAAAGCTGGAAGCATTCTGCTTGAAAACCAGTGTAAGAAAAGAATGTTGTCTCTCACCACTCCTATTCAACATAGTATTTTGTCCTGGCCAGAGCAACCAGGAAAGATAAATAAATAAAAGGAATCCAACTAGGAAAAGCAGAAGTAAAACTATCCCTTTATGTATATGACACGATTCCATACTTTAAAAGACCCATGGTCTTGGCCCCAAAGCTCCTTGAGCTGATAAGCAATTTCAGTAAAGTTTTAAGACACAAAATCAATGTACAAAAATCAGTAGCATTCCTATTCACTAACAGCACCCAAGCCAAGAGCCAAATAACACAATCCCACTGAAAACTGCCACAAAAAGAATAAAATACCTAGAAGTACAGCTAACCAGCGAGATGAAATATCTCTACAACAGGAATTACAAAACTGCTCAAAAATCAGAGATGACACCCAAAAATGAAAGAAAATTCCATGCTCAATGACCAGATTCAGTGCTACTCCTATCAAACTACCAATGACATTCTTCAAGTAATTATAATAATCTATTCTAAAATTCATATGGAACAACAACAACAACAACAACAACAACAACAACAACAAAAGAGCCTGAATACCCAAGGCAATCCTAAGCAGAAAGGTAAAGCTGGAGGAATCACATTGCCCAACCTCAAACCATACTACAAGGCTAGAGTAACCAAAACAGCATGGCACTGCTACAAAAGTAGACACACAGGCCAATATAAGAGAAGAGAGAGACAAGAAGTAAAGCCACTCACCTACAGCCATCTGGTGTTTGACAAAGCTGACAAAAACAAGCAATGAGGAAAGGACTCCCTGCTCAATAAATGGTGCTGGAATACCTGGCTAGCTGAAGATTGAAACTGGACAACTTCCTTAGACCATATGCAAAAATCAACTAAAGACTGATTAAAGACCTAAACGTAAACCCCGTAACTGTAAAAACTCTAGAAGATAACCTAGATAATACCATTTTGGATATAGGAACTGGCAAAAATTTCATGATCGAAAATGTCCAAAGCAATTGCAACAAACGCAAAAATGACATATGGGGCCTAATTATATGAAAGACATTTGAAACTGTTAACAGAGTAAACAGAAAACTTACAGAATGGAAGAAAACGTTTGTAAACCATACATCTTGCAAAGATCTAACATCTAGAATCTACAGGAAACTTAAATAAATACATAAGCAAAAAATGAACAATGGCATTAAAAAGTAGTCAAAGGACACGAACAGACAACTTTTCAGAAGAAGGTATACAATGCACCAACAAGCATATGAAAAAAATGTACAATATCACTAATCATTAGAAAAATTCAAATCAAAACAACAAGAAAATGGCATCACGTATCAGTCACAATGGCTATCATTAAAAAGTCAAAAAATAACAGATTACGTCTGTAATCCCAGCACTTTGGGAAGCCAAGGCAGGCGGATCACTTGAGGTCAGGAGTTCAAGACCAGACTTGCCAACATGGTGAAACTTCATCTCTACTAAAAATACAAAAATTAGCTGGGCGTGGCAGCAGGCACCTGAAATCCCAGTCACTTGGGAGGCTGAGGCTGGAGAATCGCTTGAACCCAGGAGGTGGAGGTTGCAGTGAGTTGAGATTGTGTCAATGCACTCCAGCCTGGGCAACAGAGTAACACTCTGTCTCAAAAAAAAAAAAAAACAAACAAAAAAAAAAACCCAAACTAAAGGCATAAAGGCTATAGAAAAAAAATGTCATTACCCAGCAACAAGAACTCAAGGATACTGATCTCACGAGAGCTTTCCTTGGGAATCTACTAGAGTTTCAGGCAACCAAAACATTGAGGAAGACATTGACATTAATAGCAAATGCACATTAAATATTTACAGGCAGTACTAACTCTAAATAAAGAATATTATGGAAAGTGTACAGTACACAAAAGTGGAGGTGAAAAATGTGAAATGTGTATGTAAAATTTTTTAAAACTTTTTGCAACAATCATATCTTTGATGACAGTTTGCTGTTTTGTGCTGAAAATATTTCATTCACCATCAATGAGGACTTGGGTTATATCCTAATTCTACCATCTCTGGTATTCTTGAGATCTGGGAATCTTGGTATGAGAAAAAAGAAAATACAGGTAAAATATAAGAAGTTAAGGAAATAACCTGTGGTCCAAATTTTGAATTTCAATATATAAGGTATTTTCTACTTAAAAGCACATCTCTCCTACTTGTGCCCATTGAAAAGACCTAAAACAAATGGTCAATCCTACAACACTAAGCATTACTAGTGTACGTATTTCAGTCTTTAAATATAAATTCCCATTAAAACAAACCAGTTTCTTAATAACGGCTGATTTGACTTTTGTGTGATGAAATATACAAGATGAGTCTGGGACTATTAAAGCCTATTATGGCCACATAAAAAGACTTGCAAAGACCAGGCACGGTGGCTTACGCCTGTAATCCCAGCACTTTTAGAGGCAGAGGCGGGTGGATCACCTGAGGTCAGGAGTTGGAGACCAGCCTGGCCAACATGCAGAAACCTCGTCTCTACTAAAAATACAAAGTTAGCCAGGCGTGGTGGCACATTCCTGTAATCCTTGCTGCTTGGGAGGCTGAGGCAGGAGAATCGCTTGAACCCGGGAGGCGGAGGTTGCAGTGAGCCGAGATTAAGCCATTGCACTCCAGCCTGGGCAACAAGAGCGAAACTCTGTCCCAAAAACAAACAAATAAACAACAACAACAAGACTTGCAAGACACAAAGACATGAAGAGTTTCCCACTGGCCAAAGTTGAGCTTATTTGAGTACCAATAGTAACTGAAATACAACCAAACACATCAAGGATGTTCCAATTCATGAGTTCACAATGATCTAAAAAAAAAAAAAAAAAAAAAAGGAAAACCTACTGGTCGGCTTTGGAGAATGTTAGAGAACAAATTATGAACACTAGAAAATAAAGGGTTGAATGAACAATGCCATTAGGTAACAAAACAGATGAAGCAGACGGAGGAGGAGAACAGGTAAGAAAATGGAATACTTTTGTAACTCCTATTTAATGCATCTTGGCATCAGATTTGCCACAGAGAGAGAGGAAAAGTAGGGAAGGAGAGAATATGAATCAGATATTAAGTGCCTGCCAATGAAAGACACAATATGACTTCTGAAATTAAAACTGAACTTGATTAAGTCTCTAGATCCCAATTTAAAGATACCAATTTAGAGAAAAACTGCAGATAACAATGGAACATGCTTATATCACAGAAGTTGTATCATCAAAATCTTATGGAAAAATTCTACAAGAATACAAATACAAAAGCAGGGGTTGGCAAACATTGTTAAGTCAGAAGGGGAATAAATAAAATTAACATATTCGTTTATATTTAACTTGTTTTAATCTGTAAAGTTACCACCAAATGAATAGAAAAAAATTATCCCTAGTTACTAATGGTAGAAAAATTAAATAACAATATAACTTAACCCAAAAGAGTAAAAAAGGAAATACTACAGAACAGGCAGTGCAAATAAAAAACAGTAGATTTATACCCAAATCTATCAGTAGGAACATAAGGAACAGAATTATACTAAAATTAAAACACCATGATATTCACACTGTATAAAAAAGTCAATATATGCTATGAAAAATCCATTAAACAAAAATGTTAAAAATGTAAGTATGAAAGAATATATTCCTTGCAAAATAGTAACCACATAAAGCTATTTTAGTGCTCACTTTGGTAGTACATATACTAACATTGGAATGATACAGAGAAGATTAGCATGGCCCCTGCACAAGGATGACACACAAATTTATGAAGTGTTCCACATTTTTCAGACAAGCAAATGTTGAGGGAATTCATTACCACCTGACCTACCTTATAAGAGGCTACTGGAGGAAGCACTAAACATGGAAAGGAAAGACAATTACCAGCTATTACAAAAACATACTGAATGAAGTACACAGACCAGTGACTCTATAAAGGAACCACATAGTCTGCAAACTAATATTATGATGTTACATAATGTCAGGATCAAATACACAAATATAAATACTAATCTCTTAAGTGTAAATGGGCTAAGTGCCACAATTAAAGGACAGATTGGCAAGCTGGATAAAGAACAAAGACTTGTTGGTATGCTATCTTCAAAAGACCCAAGAGACATTCAGTGACACACATAGGCTTAAAATAAAGGGACAGAGAAAAATCTACCCAGCAAATGGAAAATAGAAAAAAGCAGGGATCACAATCCTAGTTTCAAACAAAACAAACTTCAAACCAACAAAGATCAAAAAAGACAAGAAGGGCATTACATAATAGTAAAGGGGCCAATTTAACAAGAAAATCTACCTATCCTAAATACATATAAACCCAACACAGGAGCAATCAGATTTATAAAGCAAGTTCTTAGAGACCTTCAAAGAGATGTAGACTCTCACACAATTAATAGTAAGAGGCTTTGACACCCCACTGACAATATTAGACAGATCAAGACAGAAAATCAACATAGATATTCAGGACTTAAACTCACTTCTGAATCAAGTGGACTCGATAGGTATCTACAGAACTCTCCACCTAAAAACAACAGAATATACATTCTTCTCATCACCACCTAGCACATACTCTAAAACAGATCACATAAACGGAGGTAAAACATTCATCAGCAAATGCAAAAGAACTGAAATCCTAACAATCAGTCTCTCAGACCACAGCACAACCAAATTACAAAACAAGAAATTCATTCAAAAAGTACAATTACATAAAAACTGAACAAACTGCTCCTGAATGACTTTTGGGTAAATAATAAAATTAAAACAGAAATCAAGAAGTTCTTTGAAACTAATGAGAACAAAGATACAATGTATCAGAATCACTGGCACACAGCTAAGGCAGTGTTAATATGTAAATTTATAGAAATAGATGCCCACATCAAAAAGTTAGAAAGTTCTCAAATTTAAAAACAATATAACATCACAACTAAAAGAAGTAGAGAACCAATAGCAAACAATTCCCAAAACAGGCAGAAAACAAGAACTAACCAAAATCAGAGCTGAACTGAAGGTGACTGACATGAAAACTGTTCAAAAGATCAACAAATCCAGGAGCTGCCTTTTTGAAAAATTAACAAAATAGATAGACTGCTGGTTAGACTAATAAAGAAGAAAAGACAGATCAAACACAATCCTAGAAACAACAAAGGACCTCACAGAAATAAAAACAACCATTAGACAGTATTATGAACACCTCTATGTATATAAACTTGAAAATAAAGAAATAGATAAATTCTTAGACATATACATCCTTCCAAGACTGAACAGGAAGAAACTGAATCCCAGAACAGACCAATAACAAGTTCTGAAATTGAGGAATTAATAAACAGCCTCCTAACAACAACAAAAAAACAAACTCAGGACCAGATGGATTCACAGCTGAATTTTACCAGAGGTACAAAGGAGATGGCACTATTCCTACTGAAACTATTTCACAAATTTGAGGAGGAGGAACTGCTCTCTGTTGGGAGGAGGTCTTGACGTGTGTGTGATGCAGTATATGTTGTTTGCTCAGAGGCAATGGCAAGGAACACTGAGCCATCTCCAGGCAGGAAACTGCTGGAATAAGCAAGCAGTATGTACTGGTCCTGCACTAGTTAAACCAGCTCCCCAAACACAGGATATTTGACCTTGTCCCCATTGCTGACTCGCAGAGTATTCTTTAGCTTATTTCTATCTTGGTAGTGAACAGGCACTATCTGCCTATTTAGTCTATCTTTATTCTATGAAGAAATACTGAGCACTTGCCTATTAAAAAATCATCACTTGTTCACAAAGAATAAATACATGAGTCAGAGTGTGCTCTGGGCTGTCAGCTAGAAAATGCTGACCGATCCCTGACAGTCCCACTCTGATCCCCCTTTTGCACTCTATCTTTGTTTCTGTTTCTTAATTCCTGCAGTGCCGCCTGGGTTGAGGTTTCTACAACTGAGTTGGTCTCGGCAGCTCTCTAACTCATTTTAGGAGGCCACAGCCTCATCATGATATCAAAACCTGGAAGAGACACAACAAAAAAAGAAAACTTCAGGCCAATATGCTTGATGAACATCAAGGCAAAAATCCTCAACAAAATACTGGAAAACTTAATCCAGCAGCTCATCAAAAAGCTTAGCCACCACTATCAAGCAGGCTTTATCTCTAAGGTGCAAGGTTGGTTCAACTAACACAAATCAAAAAATGTGATTCATCACATAAACAGAACTACAGACAAAAACCACATGATTATCTCAATAGATGCAGAAAGGCTTTTGATAAAATTCAAACTTCTTCCTATTAAAACTCTCAACTAAATATTGAAGGAACATACATCAAAATAGTAAAAAGCATATATGACAAACGGACAGTCAACATCAAACTGAATGGGCAAAAGCTGGAAGCATTCCTCTTGAAAACCAGCACAAGACAAGGATGCCCTCTCCCACCACTCTTAATGGGCCCACCTTGAGGGTAGAGAGTAGGAAGAGGGAAAGGGGCAGAAAAAATAATTATTGGGTACTAGGTTTAGTACCTAGGTCACAAAATAATCTGTATAACAAACCCCATTGATAGGATTTTACCTATATAACGAACCTGCACAGGGATCCCTCAAACATAGAAAAAAAGCTTAAAAAAAAAAAAAAGAAATCCTTATGGGCAAATCTTTGATTTCACGAAAATATCTTGAGTGCTCTGCACAGTGCCAGATACATAGCACACAGATACTGGGTGAAAATTCTCAGTAAATGCTTTATGAATGAATACAGTCAGAAAGATAATACTAATTTTAAGGGCTTGTGCTCAAGTTGCTGTTAACATAAAACATTTAAAAATATTGACAGTAGTGTCCGGTAGTGTAAATCAACATGAACAAGTTTACTAACTTCCATTCAAGGAAGTCAAGTCAGGTTAAACATAAAAATTAAAGTAATTAAAGAAGTGGTGTTTCTGAATAGGAAAGAATTTGCTTACATATGTCCATTTTTTCTTGTGTTAAAGGCATTAGAAAGCTGCTTAAACATTGCTAATGATGCCAAGATTCCTGAGAGGAGATCACTTCAGAGAGGTGAGCTAATGGTCTGCATCTGTTTTTTTTTTCCCCCTGGAGGCATTTGTAGATTCTGAGTATACAACAAAATGTCCAGAATCCATGCTTCTTTTAACCACAGGTCCACTGCTGCAGGTTTTTGGCAGTCTCACTATGCTAGACAGACAAAATTAATGGTTTTAGAGACCAAAATTCACTGAGACAAAATGGATGCAAAACTGAGGAGAATGTTCCCTCAAGACACTTGCAGAATGTCTGAAATTACGCAGAGTGAGGGGACAAAAAGCTAAGCAGAAAGCCTCTGAAAGGCAGAAGGGAGTTTTATCTGTCTTGTTGGAGAACGTTAAGAATCAATACACAGTAATTTTGAGAGGGAAGGGACCTAGAATCACACCAACTCAATTAAAGGTACAAAGAGTTTAAATTAAGAACTCAGTAACTTTGTAACTCTTTTATTTTGGAATATTTATATTTACATAAAAGTTGCAAAGACAGTATAGAGAGTTCCTATACACAGAAACTTCACCCTTCACTGAGGTTTTCTTAATGTTAACATACAACCATGGTACATCCGGCAAAACTAAGATTAACATTGGTACAATACTATTTTATAAAGGGACAACTTAATTTGGATTTCACTAGTCTTTCCAATAATGTACTTGTTCTGTTCCAGGATCCAATAGAGAATATCACGTTACATTTAGTCATCATTTCTCCTTAGTTTCCTCCATCCAATCTGTGACAAGTTTTATAGTCCTTCCTTGTTATTCATGACTGACAACAAGGTATTGTACTGATCAGGTATTCTGAACAAAGTCCTTCGATTTGGTTTTGTCTGATGTTTTCTCACATCTAGACTACAGTTATGGCTTTGGCAGAACAATATCACAGATAAATGCCCTTCACATCACATGACATCAAAGGATACATGATATCAGCCTGAGTAATCACTGATGATGTTAACTTTGTCACTTTCTTAAGGTGGTGTCTGCCACATTTTAAAACCATCTTTGCAAAATTTTAACACTGAGAGAAATCTAATATTATTCACTCCATTTTGCTTCTAACTTCACAAGCTAACTGCCCTTGTTCATCCCTACACATAGGCCACACTCATAGTGGAAGGAATTTAGTTGAAAGTTTAAATTTAAAGTAAGGAAGATAATAATCTCTTCCTAACACTAACCCCAATCCCGGTCTAGAAACCAAAATTGCCCTTTGTAAAGCAAAGGCCAAAGGTTATAATTATGGTAGGGGTCTGAACTTTGCTAAAAAAGTAAGCATGGTTTAACAATAACCCATAATCACTTGTTCAGCTTGCTTTTCTGTGGTGCTTACCATCTCAGATAACTAGAGGTTTTAAGATTTATAACTTTTCTAGCTGCTCCTGTACATAACATCACTATTATGAAACCTAAGGAACTTTGAGATATTTTTCAGATTTAGCATTTTGGCAAACCAAGAGATGCCACCTGGACTTGTGAACCATACCAAGGAACTGACTCAACTAGTCCTGCCACCCGTCCCTGGAAATACCTCAGCTACAAGAAAGCAGTCTCAACACTCCTGCAACTTCATCCCTAGCTAATCAATTGTCTCAATTCTCCAGTCCCCTAACCACCAAAGCATCCTTAAAAATACTAGCCTCTGAATTCTCAGAGAGGCAGATGTGGGAAATACCTCCCATCTCCTCACTGACTGGCCCTGTAATTATTAAATACTTTCTGTACTGCAACTCCTGCTTTTCTCCGTGTACTAG